TCAGGAGACTTTGAAATGATTATAATGTCTATAATCTGCCAGCGAATGAAAGGCATCTAAGCACCAAGCCGAATGCCTGAGTGCGGTCTGCTGGCCACTTGCGAAGCATGCGTCTTCACGTGCCTCAAAACCCACAGCTGACTTTGGTAAAAATTTGACTGTTAAATATTCCAGCTCCACACTCTCACAAAGCACAAAGGACAGAAGCTGTCTTTCTACATTAGCAAGTAAGAACGGTTAGTGGGTAAGGCAGAGTTTACAGATCTGTATTTATGATGGAGTCTGGTTAAAAGGAAAAAAAAATTGTAAGACTGAACCATACAATGTGGGAAGCCTAATTTCAGCAGGAAGTAGCTTTGAAATGACATCACACTTCACTCACTCCCCCAAATGATGTCGTGTGTGTGTGTGTGCATGCGTGCGTGTGTGATTTGTGCTGGGTCTCACTACACAGCTCAGACTCATAGTGATCTTCCTATTTTCAGCCTCCCCAGCACGGGATTACAGGCATATGCCACCACACCCAGACTCGGTGGCCCACTCAGTGGGCCCTGGGGTGAAGGCAGCAGAGCATGTCATGCCAGGGATTGAACCCTGGCCCTACGCTTGCCTAAGCAGGTGCTTAGTCCACCATGCTATCTCACCATCCCTCCCAAATGATGTCTTGGACAACTGGCTTGGACACCAATAAAATGTCCTGTCGCTTGCCATGTTTTATTTTCTTATAGTAACTCCCCACTGTTTTGTGTTCATTCTAGCTTCCTGCTCTTACAGCAGCCTCTGGGATCTGATTAAGCTAGGCCTTGTTGGCGGCCATGTGTACATTTCATACCCACATATAGGTACTTAGGGGTCTTAAAAGATTTCTAAAATGTACTTGTCTTGCAGAAATATAAAGAACAATAGCAAAAAAGCCCTTTGATGGCTCAGAATTTATTTTATGTACTTATTAATTGGTACACTTTCTCCTGTGTTTTAAGGAAATATTCTGTACCCTGAAACAAGAAAATAAGTAAAGACATGTGTCTGCTTTAATATCTTGATACTGGTTGAGTCTCAGTAGTTCTTTTCCCTGCTTTCTGGGCAAAGGCCCTTTCTGTTCTCTGGCCTGGCTGCACTTTGATGTCTGAAGCTGTGCCTTTTGGTTGTAAATGTATGTGGTGTCTTTGATCTAGTACTTAGCGGTCTTATTTAAAATAGATAGCTTCTTTTATCTAAGCAGTGTTTACTAGGCCTCTCCGGTTCTGAAAGATGGTTTAAATTGCTATTATTTAGATAGCAAGTTGCTTCTTAAGTGTGTCCCCGTCTGATTCTAATTCTCTGCATTCTAAAACCACAATAGTTCTCTTGTAGATTTTGTAAAGCTAAATTGCTATTAAAATGAGCTGCTGTTACGGATACCAGGTAATACATGCAAAACTTTGTTTGCTTTCAACGGGAACTGATTTTTCCAAAGAGTAATGAACACCTCTGATATAGGCAAAGATGGTCGTATCAGAGAGTCTAAACATAATAGCCAGTTATCTTTCTCAAATGCAGGTATTCACTTACTTATTTTTTTTTAGTACCAGGAATCAAACTCAGAACCTTGCACTCACCAGGCAGGTGCTTGTGCCACTGAGCTGTCTCCCCGGCCCTCATTTACTCTTATGCTACTGGGATACACATACATTACAAGGTATAACGAAATAGGATCTTTTAAAAGAATAAGAAATACATACATATTCCATTCTTTTTAAGATAATGTCTTGAACATTATATCTGGAGCTTTAGTGACTTGTTTTTGCGTTTCCTTAGCTGCTTTCAGTTATCCATCTGACAAACAATATTACAGGGCCAGGAAACCTTCACTTTGTCATTAAGGGCATTCACCACCTAGGAATGAACGGACAGATGGAACACCAGCAAGCAATGACACTGTAGTGTGGGCACTGGCCCTTGTGGACGTGCTCCTTGTATGCTGTCCATAAGAGTGGTCAGGGGGAACTTCCTAGAAGAGGTGACATCCACCCCTGAGTGAAGGGCTTTCAGCTCAGAATTCAACGTCCTGTGAATTCTCACCCAAGCTTAGAGCACAAAGTAAATCAATCTGCCCAGACTCTTCTGGCTTAGTACCAGTCACCCAAATCTTGCAAGAGGGCCAAACTTTGAATTGCTTTGTTGCCTAAAGCTGCACCCAAAGCCCTCTTGATTGTCAATCACCACCGAGGAGAGAAACCCCAAACTGCTCTCCCTACCCGCATTTGTCAGCTTTATTACTCATTTATGGTCATGTTGGTCAGGCTTTTTTTTAAATGTATTTTTTAGTACAGGGTCTCACTACACAGATCGAACTTGTAGTGATTCTCCTGTTTTCAGCCTCCCCAGCACTGGGATTACAGGCACGCACCACCACACACAACCTCAATCAACTTCCCAGTGTGCCCTGGGGACAGGGCTGGCATGGCATGCTGGGCATCGAACCCTAATCCCTGTATCTGCTTAAGCAGACACTTTAGTCCACTGAGCTACCTGGTCAGCCCTTGGTCAGCTCTTTATTGTTGTAACTAAATACTTAAGAGGAAGGAAAAGTGTACTATGGTCATAGTTGCATAGTCTTGAGTCCATGCTGAGTTGGATGTGCTACTTTGAGGTCTGTGGTGAAGCAGAGTAGAGTGTGGAAAGCGTGAGCAAAGATACTTACCTCATGGCAGGCAGGAAGTGGCAGAGAGAGAGAGAGAGAGACAGACAGACAGACAGACAGACAGACAGGGAGGCAAGGAAATATGAAACCCCAACTTGTCCTTTGGAGCTCGTCCTCCGTGCCCTTCCTTGCTCCCACTAATCCACAGTTCCTCATGGTTCCACAATGCCCTAGTAGCGCCACAGGCTGGGAACCAAGTCCTCAACATACGGGCTTCTGGTGGACATTCAAGAACCAAGCTATAAAGCCAGGCACGGGGGTGTATACCTGTCACCCCAGCACGCAGGAGGCTGAGTCAGAAGATTGAGGGTCTGAGGCCAGCCTGCATTACATAGTGAGTTCAAAACTGGCATGGATTACACATGAGATCCTGCCTCAACCCCCCCCCACCCCAAAGTTTACAAGCGCTGTGTTATTACCTAAAGTCGCTCCTTCTGCCTTTCTTTATCCTGTGTTGTTAGGCTCCAGGAAGATTTGGGTTTTTTTGTTCTCTTCAGTGTGGCATTCTTGCTATTTTAGAAATCTTGTAATTCTTCCTTACTGGGATGAAGTGACCAATATTCAACTACATTACATTACAACACATTGTCCCAACTCTTCTTGGAGACTGGGGAGGAAATCAAAGGATCTCAAACGAGGCTTGTGGAGAAGGGGAGGAGACGTGGGCCTCTGGGGGACACCAGGGCACACACTGGGGGCGTTCCTGGAACAGGGCAGAGACGATACATGCAGGGCGGGCAGGAGGAGCTGGAGAAGGGTTGAAAGCACACATGGCAGGAAGATTCCCTCTGGGCATCTAGAGCTCCTGAAGGGGGGAGCTCGTGGAATAACTGTACTATTTGTTCCTTTCCTCTTCCTTCATATTAGTTAACAAGCAAATCCTGAGAATCATGCAACGTAGGCAATAGAATTTTTGGATGAGAAAAGTAGGCCCCAAAGTTAGGGTGGCTCAGGGTTCCAGCCTCACCGTGTCAGAGCCACACAGTGGCAGCCTGGCCAGTCCACTGGCCACAATCCAGCCCTGCGCGTCTTTTTTTTCGACTTGTTCCCACTAGGAATCTTAGAGTCTACAAAGTAGCCTATAAGAGAAAAATCATCATACCATGGACCCTTACAATGTGTGGGCCCTGGGAATATCTAAGTTCTCATGAGGCTGCATCTCTTTCTCCCTGGGCCCCACGATATTAAACCTAAAAGAACTTTAAGAATGGAAATAGCTCTTACAAAAAGAAAGAGAGGGGGCAGGAAAATTAGATTAGGTCATACAGACCACGTGACCAACTGGGACGACAAGCTAGGAGTGTGGAGAGTGGTAACGTACTGAGGAACACCAAACGAATATTTGATCAGTTATTAATCATAGGCTGTCCACAATCTATAACTTTGAGAAGGAAAGGGCACTATGCCCTAACCAAATTGCATGGACTATGAGGAAAGCAGAAAGATAATCCCAGGCTGGGGAGATAGCTCAGTAGAATAAGCGCTTGCTTGGCAAGTGCAAGAGCCTGAGTTCAATTCCCGGTTCAAAAAAAAAAAAAAAAAGATAATCCTAAGGAAATCAGATAACTGCTATTAGAATGAAGGTGAGGAATATATGCTGAAAAGCACAAACAGTAGCTACTGGCAGCAGGGCCCTTGTCCTCTCCTGGAGTGTAAATGAGAAAGACTGACACATTCGTGGAGATGGTACTTTGTGCAAATAGTCTCAGTGCTTTGTCTCCATTAATTCATTTATTTTAATCTCAACCCTTTTATAACTCACATTTCACAAAGAAAGAAATTGAGGCACAGATTAACCTGGCCAAGATTTTACAGTCTGTAAAGATATTAGCTGAAATTGGACCCTAAGAGTCTGACATCAAGCCCTTCATTTTTATTGTTCCAATAAAATTGTATTGTATTTTATTATATAACATTATATATTACAATGTAGTAATCACTGCTGTCAATACCTCTCATTTGCTTGGTTTTCTTTTTCCTTTTCCTCTGAAATAAGTGTTTTAGGATGACCTTGATAAGGAATGTAAATAACCTAGCAAATTGCAGTAGCCCTTATTAGTTTTATTATTATATTATGCAAAGCCTTTGATCTATGACTGTGAAATAACACAAAAAGCAATCAAAAATAACAAGACACCTGCATGGTCTCTACAGCTGAGAGAAAATCTGCATGATCTTCTGGGAGATGAACAATGGGTATGAAAGAATAGGTGCTGTCAATAAATGTATGGCTAGCACTGTCTGGAGACCCATGGGAGCAGGATGAAATGGCAAAAGGCTGCATCTTTAACGACTCCTTTTCTCCTTCCTTCTCAAGTGCTGCTTAAGCAGAGCAGAGGCCAGGCGGGATGCAGCCAAAGTGGCCCTAATCAACTCCCTGTTCAACGAGCTCCCCTCACGCAGGATCACCAAGGAGTTCATTATGGAAAGTGTTCAGGAGGCAGTGGCCTCCACCAGTGTAAGTACCACAGGGAGGGAGGGGCGGGCCACGCTGCCCACACTCAGGCGTCTGAGCCCCCAGAGATGCTACAGGGAGTAAATCCTTAATTTAAAAACACATGGGTTACATTTTTGCCCATTAAATCATTAGTTTTCTGCAAAAAAAGAATACTTGGATTGGAAATCATAAAACTGGAACTGGTTCCTGACTGTACACTTCAGTAATATTCTTGACTTCCCTGGATCACAATTAATCAAGCTTTAAATTGAGGTAGATAATTCGATCCACGTTGATTTGTTTATTTGAATGTCTGCCCTTTGAGGAGTGTTGATTCTTTTAGGGCCCGAGAATGCAAACAAGTGAGTGATGCTTTAATCTAGTGGTGGTAAACTAGCTCCCTTTATCCTTAACTTAACTAATCCTAAAAATTACTTGAGGTACTTACTGGGAAAGTACCAATTACCCAGGAGAGAAGAGCCTTACAGTCTATACTTTTAAGGAAGCACTAACTCTTATCTCATTCTGATTTGTATGAGCTATTACAACAATCATGATTAACATCAATTTACTTCTTTCAGAGAGCTTTGAAAAGTTCTGTGATGGACACAATTAAACACAGAGTACTTTAAAAGCAAAAGCCCCATGTTAGAAACTTAAATAAAAGTTTTTTCAGCAATCCTGTATTACTTATTTGTCCAGTAAATGATGTGAAGCTCCCAATCCTCTATGGCTCCAAACTACAAGCCACATGGGGGACCTGGGGTTCCCACCCATGGCAGGTGTTTCCCTGAACATGCTCAAGGGGAGATTTGGCACTACCGTGGATAGTAGCTGCCTCTGACCTGCCCTTGGCATGGGCAAATCCTGTCTGAGATTCTCCTCCCCTATTTCCTTTAATAAAACCAGAAAATGCTGCCTTTCTGGAGGAGCTGTTGATAACGAAGAAGCCATCATCTGGCTATCATGAGCCTCTCCTCATAAATGCTCTTACCACTTCCAAGGGCTGAGAAGGAAAGCGATTGTCCTAGCAGGAGGAGGCAGGGAGCTCTGCTCTGTATCTGGTCTGCGGATGAAAGGAAGCCTTTAGTTTCTGGCTCTGTAAATTTCCAGGGCCTTTGATGAAGAGAAGTTAGGAAAATGATGCCTGATTTATATAAGTGTGGAATTTACTCAGGAGCAGGGAAGGGCCCTCAGTGTAAATGTAATTTATCATTTTTTCATGGAAATTTCTAAGGAAAGAGAGTACGTATGGCTTGCAAGCTTCTGGGTGGATTTCCTCGGGGATATTTAAAAAGCCAACATAAATATTTCAGCAGCAGTGTGTTAATGTTATTGCATTCAAAAGCTATAAATTTGCTGCTATTTGATGCTGCCGGTTGTTTGTTCAGTCTCGTGGAGTCGCCACAGCCCAACTTCCGAGGAATCCAAGGCCATGGGACAGTAAGAAGCCCTAGATGCCATTCCAGAGCTTCCACTAGCTTCTGCAGTGCTCCTCACAATGGAACTGAAAAGGAGCTTCATTTCTGCCCATCATAGCCCCCTCAGATCCCTTGTCTCCTAAAGAGTAAATGGTTGTTGCAGTCAAGGTTTGCAAGAGAATAGATTTAATACATAATTTATAGGATTATTTCATAATATTCAGCCATAAAGTCAAATGCAGAGGAGTGCAAGAGGTCTGCCCAGTCCCGGATCCCACAGCAATGTCCCACATGGGTCCAGGCAGAGGCCTCCAGCCCACGGTAATGTCCTACGCAAGGAAGACCCAAAGGCCATGGTAGAGGCTAGAGGGTCTGCATTAGCAGGGCGAAGGATCTGTGCCACAAGTCTGAGGGAGCTGCAGTGGAGCCAGGAATCAATGCTCAAAGCAAAGACCAGAGCTCCTGGGAGAGCATAGCAACCCTCCCCAGTGACAGTGAAGACCCAAACTCCTCTGATAACAAAGACAGCAGCTGAATTCACATCAGGAAACGCAGAGTGACAAGCACTCCAGGAAGATCAACAGCATGCTGTTCCCTTCCAGTTCTTTTCTTTTGTTGGCAACAACCCTCAGGCAAACCTTCCATACCCAGAAGCACCCTGATTCTGCTCAGCTGGGTATTACAAATTGACCATTAGTTAATCCACCACAGTGGTCCAAGAGTTTAGAAAATGTACCACCAAAATCTATGTCGCCTATCTTAGTTACTTTTCTCTGGTTGCTGAGACAAAATACCCAATACCCAAAGTTAAGGGAGGAAAAGTTTATTTAGCTCACAATTAGTAAAGGTTTCTGTTTATAATCGGCTAAGTCCAAGGCAGGGTGGCTTGGCAGGGGGCACTGCAGAGGAGAGACAGCTCCTGGGAGCAGAAGACAGGAAAGGCAAGCAAGGGAAGGGAGAGGGGTGCCCTGCAAGCACGCTGCCCACCCTAGGGTGGACGTAGCTTTCACACCCTTAATCCCCACATCGGACTGGGAATCAGCCTCAAACTCTAGACTCAACCACTTCTGAAAAGCCTGCCCTCAACAGCTGCAGGGGATTTAGAAGGGCATCTAGACACAATGGCATCTGTAGTCCAAATGTCACCCATGTTATGAAAAATTCCCATTAAGAATCATGGCAGGGGGCCAGGGAGTTAGCTCAGTAGAATAAGTGCTTGCCTGGCAAGTGCAAGGGCCTGAGTTCAATCCCCGGTTCCACAAAAAAAAAAAAAAGAATCATGGCAGTAGGGGCCGGGGAGATGGCTCAGTGGAATAAAGCGCTTCCCTGGCAAGCGCAAGGGCCTGAGTTCAATCCCAGGTTCCACAAAAAAAAAAAAAAAAAAAAAAAAAAAAGAATCATGCCAGTAAAATACAAATGGCCCATACCACGCGCAAGTCTTTTTTCTATGTCCACAAATTTGTTTGTGTATCATTGAACTTAGAACATGACCAATATTTCCAAATTTCTGTTAGCCCAATACCACCACCACCACCACCACAAGCCCTGCATAACACAAGCAGGAATTTCTGTGTGGAAACAGTTATTCTATCAGCAAGTATTCTGATAGATAAAAACTCAATTAATGTTCTAATCAAAAGATAGATTCAAATTGATTTTGAGATCCTCTTTACTCTGAATCATGGTGAGATTTGGTGAGATTTTACCCAAAATCAACTGGAAACTTGATTGTGGGGTGAACACCATTGTTAGGCCAGCAACGGAAGGCTTGCTGTGGCCACAGCATGTATCCTTGATCACCAATGAAAATATCAGTAATAGTTCTTCTGCGTCTTCCCAAGGGCACCTTCGAGGATGCGGATGACCCCAGCACGAGCATCGGCGCCTACCACTACATGTTGGAGTCAAACATGGGCAAGACCATGCTGGAGTTTCAGGTACCTGGCTTCTTGCTATGCGTTTGTCTGGTGACACAACTTAGAAACCTGGGACAACTTATCACTAACATCTATTGCAGAACAAACTTTTTAATTCAACCTTCGTAGAGTCCGGCATAGTAACCACAGTTTAGCCACATTTCAGTAAAATAAAAGAAAGCTGGGTGTGCTGGCACAAGCCCGTTGTCCCAGAATTCTGAGAGGTTGAGCCAGGAGGGTTACAAGTGGCAGCTCAGCCTGGGAAACTTAGAGACTTAGGGAGACCTTGTCTCAACATTTAAAAAAAAAGGGGGGGGCCCTTGGTTAAATCCTTGGTACCTAAAAGTAAATAAATCATAATACAATAAAATAAAAGCAACCAAACAAAATTATGGGAAAAAAAAAAGCAACCAAACAGAGCACAGTCTTTGCTATTATGGAGAGAAATATTTAAGTCTAAGAAACAGGTAAGAAGCACCACAGTCTTACGATGCCAAAACACTTCAGCATTTCAGTACAAAGTTGCCCCTTAAGCCCAATCAAATAGTCATGATCCCCTGGTTCTTGATTCTTGAAAGTTACAGATGGAGGTTCCTCCAGTATTCAATGAACAACATTTCTTTAGTTCTGATATTTCCACTAAACAACATTTGCTTCCTCCTATCATCAAACAAAGAAGAAAAGCAACCTACAACCCTTTCATACTGCTGAGTGGTAACAGCTGAGAAGCTACATTACCTCCACATTAACCATCAAAGATGGCCCCAGAATTAGGACTTTTCAATTTATGATGGCAAGAAAGCACACCTATCTAACCATTCTAGTTTTCTACTTCAGTTCTGTCGTGTGAGGTATACAACATTTTATCTTTTTTAAATAATTTTATTGAGAAAGAAATAGCAATGAGAGAGTTTCAAAAGTGATTAGTAGGACAGTTTCAATAATTAATACATTGCATATTGTTATCTTAGTGGTCATTCATTGTACAACATACAGACATGATATCCTGTCCACAAACACTATTAGAACAAATCCCTCTATACACTGAATTAAGAGAATGTAGCTGTATATCCATCCTAACTATTTTGAATATACATATACAAAATGATCATTCATTTGTATCCCCCTTTTTGTTTAGTTTTGTCAGAGAAGGGTATTGTAACACTTTATTATAAAATAAGTTTTGTGTTGGGTGATGTTGTCTGACTGCAGGCCAACTAAGTGTGTGAATGTGTTTCAGGTAGGTCAGCCTGCACTATGATATTACAGCAGTTAGGTGTATTGCATGCATTTCTAACTTAATGATATTTCCAACTTACAATGCATTTATCAGAGAATATGCCATGGGCAAGTGGAGGTTTAGCTGTATTTGCAAAATCAATAATTGTATAAATAATGGAAATAATAATCAATGGTGCCTATTAGGCACTTTCTTTGGTATGATGCTTAACATGCATTTAACAAGTTTTATCATAATTTTTTACAATCCCATGAGTTAGCTTTTACTCACATGAGAAATTTCACTAACTTTCATGTTAGATTTTTCATGAGAAATCCCCATGTTAGTGATTTTTTCCAACATCATATTCATTACTTTATAAGTCCTTATAAAGTCAATTATCATTTATACTGAACAACCAGTTGAATAGGCAAAACGCCATACAAAACACATGAGAGAATTATGCTATCTCAAGGTACACTGTTATTATTGCCCCAGGTTGGTCACAGCTTAGCAAATGGCAGAGCCAGCGTTCAGTCCTGGGCATTCTGATGGCTGATCTGGTGCAGCTGCCCCTGATCCTGTATTAGTTTGAGCAGATGGAAACGTGGTAGTCACTGGGCAGGAAATATATATCGCTCTCAAAAAACTAAAGTTGAATGCAGATGAACCTCCACAAACATGTGGGTAGAAATCAATAGGTAATATGATAACCCAAGTCTTTACCCCCAGTGATTGTATTTTCTCATTCAGACTCCAAGAAGTAACTAGAGATTACAGCTAAATCCAAGAAAAACCCAGAGATATAAAATTTCATGAACAAGGACATTCATCATGGTATAATTTACCATGGTGTTACAGTTGAGAGCTGAAGCCATCAGCTTTCAGATGCCTTCATCCGTGCATTTCAAATCTTTTCCTGACTAGTGGTAGAAACATTCCAAAAATGCATGGACGTGTCCTTTCTGCTCATTTTTCAAAAAAAAAAAAAAAAAGTGTTATTGCTCTTTCTGCATTCCCCATATGACTGCAAGGGCTTTTTCCACTCTGCATCTCGATTATCTAATTTTCTCTTTAGGTGGGGATGGTCTCTCTGACCTCTGAAGAGGCCTGTCTTGGTTCATGAGGTGATCCAACCCTTAAGGCCTGCTCTCTGCAGTGGAAAAGGCCATGTGTAGCTCAGTGGTTCTGGCCCAAGCTCTGGAGTGGACTGACTGGTTTTAGACTCTATTCCTGACCTTTAAATGTGTTTCCTTGTTTGCGTCTAAATCAGAAAAAATAATAATAGTAGCTCCCAGGGCCAGGGGGAGAATTCACGGGACACTATGGGAAGAACATAGCCCAGTGCTAGAGAACCTATGGTACCCACGCCACGGCGGGCTACTTGCATCATCGAAAGCTCTCATATGCGGAGCCCGCCACCTAGGAAATGCTCCATGAAAGAAGACAGTCATTGTTTTATGTATTTCTGAGGAGGAAAATGGCACCAAAACCAAGAAATACTGTTTCAAAATCATACTGTGTGAGCCCTGTCCCTCCCTCCCTCACCACCTGTGAGCTCAGCCACGCTGAGATGGTTTTCAGATCTATAAAACAAAAATGATAATGCTCATTTATAAGACTAGGTCATGGGACTTTTAGGAAGCAGAGAGCACCATGCTTCTTGCCAGGAAGAAAGTCATTTATCTTAATTCTTCCCTTTACATGTAATCAAAAGAATATTGCTCTTCTTTTATTATAGAATGAACAATGCCCGCCCCACTACATAGTTGCTTGTATGGGACTTAGTAGCTACTTTCAGAAAAGACTGATTTTTGAATGTGATTGAGTTAGTATGCCAAGATGAATAAGGTGAGATAATTAATAATAATTAATTATAAAGTTATTAAAATTCCTTCCAAGAACTATGAAAGGCTCCACTCAAACTCGTCTGAGTCATTGCTTTGGGCTGTGTGTGTTCTATATGGTCTCTGTGGGAAAGAATTTATGTATGTGAAATAATAATTTGAATCATACTGTAGAAATGCCTCCTAAATTCTCATAAAGCTACGTGGAGTTCCAGATGGGGACCAAGGAAGGAAAATCCAAGCCCCTGACCTGCAGGACAGCAGAGACCCCAGACTCAACAGGAGGTTGCGGGAGCCTGGCTTCTCCCTCTCCTGTCGCAGGGTCCTGCACAGGACACTCCTGGGTGGCCTGGGCTAAATGCATAAGTTTGTGTCTGCACCTCCTGAGAAGCCAACCCCAGACCGAGCTGCACAAGCACCGGCACAGCTGCTCCGTAGGCTGGGTGGGTGGTGGCCCAGTGTGTGTCCATGGATGGATAACTGGATAACTACGCAGAGGAAAAGCAGGGTGGTGTCTCCTGATGGCCCTCAGGCGTGCTCGGGAGGGGTCCTGCCGGGTGGAAACGCGATAGGCCTCTGCTTACCTCGGCGGCGTCGTGGGCGGGAAGCCCAGCTGCTGCTGTGAGGTAGTCTCTCTCTGTACAGATAACTGCCTGCTGCTTGGGGGAGGGACGGGAGCGGGACAGGCGCTGGGTCTCGTCAAGGTCAGATTCTACCCAGGCTTTGACTGAAGCCGGATAATATATTTATTCTGAAGCCTAATGCAATCCAAGGAGGAGTTGTTTATTTACATCTTTGCTAAATTCTCCAGGTCACCTTTTAAAACCTCATCCCATAAACAGATTTCCTCTTAGATCCATCCTCTTGGGTGGGGAGATGGTGCCCACCTGTTTTTCAAGTTCTCCATTTACAGTGTTTGTTTTTCTTATTTCTGATGAAGCACAGAACCAAGCCAGTCTCCCAGAGAGTCCCAGAGAGAAGCAGCGAGCTTTTTCTCCCCTGTGAAGTAGCTGCAAAGCCAAACCCTGCGTTTCCAGGAAGGCCACTCAGGCAGCGCCCTGAGGACAGAGCCCGGCTGTTGCCAGTTTAAATGAATGAATGACGGAACAGCCCAGGAAACCTGTGGAATGAGGGCTGCAAATGAAGTTTTATTTTCTATTCAATTTTAAATTTTCTTTGCGGATCAGACAGCAAAACAGCTCTATATTTTGTGGTGCTTGATGTAAAATAAAAATGTAGAGCTGACCGTGGTGGTGGTGCACATGCCTACAATCCCCCGTCTCTGAGAAGCAGAGGGGTTCTGGTTTGAGCCCACCCTGGACAATTAATGGTTTAGCAAAATAATAATAATAATGATGATAATAATCCTGTCTCATAAAACAAAACAACCACAAAAATGAAACTAAAAAAATAGGTAAGAGCTGGAGTAGGAACATCACGTATGGTCAAAGCTTTGGGTTCAATTTCCAGTACTGGTGTGGGGACTAATACGAACCTCAATAGTGTAAAGTAGGAAACCACACTTAGAGTGACTCACAGGCCTCACACTCCTGGAGCACAGTGTCTTCTTCGGACCCTCCCGCCCACGACACCGAGGTAAGGGCCTGGACTCAGGGTCCTGAAGCAGAGTCATGCCTGAGACCGACCTCACAGAAAGGCCCAGACTACAGCCGAAGCCCAGAGAGGGCTCGCTTTTTTCTGGAGCAAAATTGAACGGGAAATGAACAACTTAGTGGTCAAGCTAGAAAATATTATAATGCAACAGACTCATGGCTCAAAATTAATGTGAAGCATTCCTGATCAACAAAACATCAACCTTTCACATAAAAGCTTGCATGCACCTGCCTCCCCACCCCACATTTGCAGGCTGCCTGCACACTGTGCTCTCTGCCCAGCACACGCCGGGCTACCAGGTTCACTCACTACACAGACCTCACCACAGAGCAGGCCCACCCTTGGGGACAGACATGTGGACCCCTCCAGAGTGGCAGGTTCTCCAGGAAGAAGGTGGGGGGAATCTAGGCAGCAGGCAGATGGCAAAATTAGGAGGCAATGCCTCACAGATGTCCAGGGCCCTCTCTGCCTCAGTCTGAAATGGCACAGGACTTCGGGCTGAACTCAAGCTCAGACAGCTTCAGGACAATTACAAGACAGTGACTTAGTCTTGTGAAGCTAAATAAAGAAATTGGACTGGAAGTTTGTGAAAGAACGTGAAAATATGGAAACGCAGTTTATGCGATGATATTACTGTTACTGAGTCAAAAGCTCAGGAGACAAAAGATTTTATTGACATAGTAGACTGCAGGGCGGTAATCTCCAAAGTCTGAGGCACTGACTACAGACAGCTCGTCTTATTTATAGGATGGCAAGCAGAAGTTACAAGAACAAGATAAGCTTTAGCTGAAGGTCATAGTACAATGAGTATCTTGTGGCGAACATAATTATATGAAGCAAGGTTGTTTCCAGCACATTTATAGAAGTTTTAATTTGATGACAAATCATAGATTTAGTTAAGGTAGGTGGCGGAGAACAGAATGGCTGCAGTTAGGACAGGATTTCTGCTTCAGTATAACATGTTTTGATGTCTCCCCGAATGGGACAACAACCAAAACAGAAAAAAAAAGAGGGTGGGAAGGAGGGTGTGTTTCCTAGAGAATTTTAGGAACCAGAGTCACTCTGAGGGAGAGGCAGCCATGAGGCTGCACAAGATAAGCTGCATCATGGCGGGACAGGGATTTAGACAATCAGAGGTGGGGAGGCGATGGCCATCGTCCTAGAGGCAACAATGAAGTCCCTTGGGAGGATTCCGTGAGACATAAAGGCTGTCAAGGGCTTGAGAAAGGTCTTGGTTCTGTTCCCAGTGTAACTGCCGACCCAAAAGTCTTCAGGGATTGGAGGGAAATGGCAGCAGTTCACCTGGAGGAGGCAGCTGGTGGCGTCAGCCTACAGTAGGCACAGTGCCTGCACACCTGGCTCTGTGGACGGTGGAGAAGGAGACTGCCAAGTTCAAATCCAGCCTGGGCAATTTAGTGACTTATTGCAACTCTGTGTCAACGTAATAGATACACAGGCCTAGGCATGTAGCTCAGGGCAAAGGCCCTGGGTTCAATCCCCAGTACCAGATGTAGGGAGTAGAAAAAGAATAAGCCAGGAAGATCTTGAAGAAGTAACAGTACATTTTTAAGGCAACAACTGTTGAAGGATGGAATTAAGAACTGTGCTGACTCACAAAGGCCACAAAGATGCTTGGACAGTGCAAGGAAGGGCAGAGGCAGCCAAGTTCTAAATGCAGTTGGCAGCTTCACATAAGGCCTGGAGGAGCTGCTTCATACTAGAGGGTTTGCCCAGTATGCACGAGGCTCTGGATCAATCTCTAGGAACACAAAGCACACAGGCAAATAAATTTTCCTTGAAGATTTTGGAGGAAATGGGGTATGTATCTTAAAAAAAAAAAAAAGGTAGCCCATGCAAAAGAGACACAGCATTCTTACAAAACATGAAACCCAAAGAAATTTCTTATCTGAGGTATCAGCTCTCCTATTACATGCTATCTCTTGGGCTGGTGCTGACTGTTCACCGCATAGGTTTGGGGCACGTGGTGGGGAACTTGCCCTCCTGAGCCAATGGGCTGCTTCGATGGAAAGACTGTGAGGCACAGTGGTACGAGCTCAGGGAGGCAAGGTTCAGTTCCAGGAACAAAGATTTTCCACTTTTCCATATTAGTGCTGTGTTTGACAAAGTGACCCTGGCCAGGGTCAGGGAGAGGTGGGGTTATAAGGAGGTGGCTTCCCTGGGCATCAGACCCAAGCACCTTGGCAGATGCTGGGGTCTCTGTTTAAGATGAAAGGAGCCTCTCAGCTGAAATCCTTGTTATATTTTAATTAATGGAAACACGTGATTTTACTGAGAGCTCTTTGGGCTCCTGGAGTGCTTACTGGACAGTGGAACATAGACAAAATGCTGAACTTGGTTTCAGGTGGAGATGAAGAAAAGTCCTTGATTGTGCGGCAGTTTTAGACATGAAGGCGATGCTGCTTGCTCCTGTGAGGACCTTACAGCTTTTCACTTGACCAGATAAATTCAAGAAGCCTTTAATCTAAGACTGTGTATTTCCCAATTTTCCTAAAGAAAGCTTCTTCCTGGACTAGCAGAGATCAAGATAGTTAATAAAAGTCAGCTTTGGGGATAGACAGTAGGACACTACCTAAATGTTAAATTTTCATAATTATTTTCACTAACAGGAAGTTCCTGAATTATACTGAAATATTTTCCAACAAGTATGTGGCCGTGGTTTACACTATTAATCCTTAGTAGATATTTTCTGACAAAAGCAAAGACAAAAAATAGGAAAGATAGGAAAGAGGGAGGTAGATCCTTAGCACATGGGAGGGAGACCAGGAGGTGGAGGGGAGATGGAGGGACATAAAATAAATGAAGATGTGTTATGTCCATGCACAAATCTCCCTGGTGAATGCTATCATTGTGTACTGCATGTAAGTACTAATTAAAAATTTTTTGAATGTTAAGACAATCCCTTTACATATGAAACTCAGGTAAATTCAGTGGAACATTTCTAGTACTAACTACATTAGGAAAATAAAATTCTATGCCAAGTTGCTATTCCTTGGCCTACCCTTGACCTTGGGCAGGAAAGGAAAAAACTGAGCCCATAGGGTTGCGGCTGTGCTTAATGCATAGGATGTGGAAAGCAGCAATATTTTTTAATGGCAGTATAAGCTCATTCTCCGCATTTGAAGACATTCTTCTTTTTTAAAAAATTTATTTATTTTTTTTGACAACTCAATACAGAATTTTACTTAACGAAGTAATCTGAATTTCACAGTATTTGTTGTAATACATGGTATTGTCTTACAACCAGCTATTCATATTACTAGACATTGGAAGAAGAAAAAACTAGAGCAATGTATAAGAAATTAAGAAAAGCAAAAGTACAAACAATTGAAAAAAAAAAAAAAGAGACGAAGCTAATTAGAGCATTGACTGCTTCTCTTTCCATTTTTTTTCTTTTTTTTAAATTGTTATTTATTTATTTATTTGTCCTGTCAGAGGTGAATATTCTACTGGCATCTAAATACTATAGGTGTTTCAATTCAACTAAACAATCTAACACTGTCTAGCAGTCTATAATATTAGTCGGTTATCCTCAGAAGTTATTGACTTGAGCCTTTTACAGCTCATTGTATTAATATGGATTTACTTTACATACCTCATTTTTATACTTTTCTAATGGATGATTAAGACCAAGATATAGCAAGACCTATATAACAAGAAATGTAACTTTTGTATCTGATAAGTTTAGCCAAGTACTCTCAGGATTTATCCTGTAGCCCTGTACCACCTTTTGTACATTCTTTTGTCAGTGTCTGACCTGAGGATGAGTCACGGCCATTGCTTGACCAGTTTGCTCTTTGTGAAAGCTTGAGAAAATGTTTTTTCTCTCCATGTGACTCTCCCCAGGCTCACTTTAAATCCTTGAACACATTCCTCTGTGGCTCCGTAATCTTCTTGATCAGAAAGTTTGGAGCACAACTGAGTTACATGTTGTTACAGTCCAGGTTCTCCTATGAAGACATTCTTCCTGACTGGATTTATGCATTCAGGGTTTCTGTAGTTTGTCCATTGTATGTTCTTTATGGTCAAAGATAAAGTTATAATAAATTTAGAGAATGACTTGGCTTTTATTTGTAGAATTGGGGGAAGACTTCATTCCATAAAGTAAAATGAGTGTTCCAATGAGTTTGGGGTTTAATTGATAGGCAGAAAAGGTGCTAAAAGATCATTAGAGGGAGCAGGAGGCATAGCCAGTGACAGAGCGCTTGCTCTTCTCTGGCAGGGAGAGAACCTGTCTTTGATCTATGGCCCTGTGAGGACAATACAAAGCTAAAACAGCTGAAGGAATTTCTCCTACTTCTGTCTTCCACACATACTTTCTATAGCCCCAGAAGGAACAAATGTTATTTATTTTTTGTTTGTTTTTAGTTTTGTTGTTTTTTGTTTGTTTGGGTGATTTTGCTTTTGGTGCTAGGAATGATTGGATTTAACTCAAGAGCTTAGCTACACTTTCATTTTTATTTCTTTTTTTTTTTTTTTTTTTTTTTTTTTTTTTTTTTTTTTTTTTTTTTTTTTTTTTTTTTTGTGGTACCAGGTATCAAACTCAGGACCTTGCACCTGCAAGGCAGGTCCTTATGCTACTGAGCTATCTCCCCAGCCCTAATTTAAGATCTTTGGAGCACACCTCAGCTCCATTCCTGTCCCCTATTACAGAACTCTTCTGGACATTTACAAACAAATATGTATATAAGGGCCTTCTATACTTTTTTTTTTGTATTTTAGGGAAGGGTCTACAGGGTGTCAGGGTCTCACTACTAGGTCAGACTCATAGTGATTTGCCTGTTTACAGCCTCTCAAGAGCTAGGATTACAGCGAGTGCCACCACGCCCAGTCTCAATTGCCCTCTCAGCGTGCCCTGGAGACGGGGCTGGCAGGGCAGGCCCTGTGCCTGTTTGCAGGCGCTTTAATCCGCTGAGCTATTTGGCCAGCCCTCCTTCTATACTTTCTAAATGAAACAGTAGCACAAATTATGCAGTACCATGTACTTGTGAAGTCTTTCTTCACTCCATTATGCAAATACAGATCAGGCAAGGAAGTGGGAGACACATTTTCAGGGAGGCTTTGAAAAATATCCCAATGAGTTCTGATACCATTCTACACTCTGTTCGCCTGGTATATTTGGGACTTGGAGCTATGCCCCATTGAAGCTCTCACTGACATAAACATTTCTGTGTCAAAACACGTGACAGTGACAGGTGTTTGGGCTTTCCAGGAGCTGATGACCATTTTCCAACTACTGCACTGGAATGGAAGCCTAAAGGCTCTTCGTGAAACAAAGTGTTCTCGACAGGTAAGATCCTCCGACCCGGATCGGTTGTGTGCTGTAGCGCTCAGATGGGTCATCACCCTCCTCCTCAGGGATTCCCTCTGTTTGGCCATTTCCCTGGCTTCCTCTGGAGCAGAGGGCAAAGGAAGAGCCAGGTGCGGCACGGCAGGCAGGTGAGTCAGGCCCGCCGAGTGTGCGTACTCAGGACTCACCCACGTGCCTGCGCTGCGTGCAGAGTGGAGCCCTCATTACCGCGGTCAGGAAGAAAGCTGACAGCGCAGCGTGCAAAAGCTGCGCCCCGAAGGTGGGCTGTGTGGTTGCGGCAGAGCGATGGTTCCCACTGCACCGAAAGTCCCTGGTGGCTGACAGAAATGATTTGAAGTTGGACAAGGTGGGCTTCAATCACCTCAGTTTTTTGATTTAGAAGTTTTTCTTATTTTTAAGAGACCAGGTTTCACTATTTCTACCTTGCTTATGGGGAACACACTTCCCTACTGTTTAATGACATGTATAAGAGTCTCCCTGTATACTTAATGTTTTCTCCCGCTGTCTTCTGAGATTTGTCTTTTCTATGCCCAACAATTTGAAAGATGGTAGTTTATTTTTGAGAATGTCCTAACAGGAATTCGTATGAGGAACAAAGCCTCTATTAGCCGGCAAGATAAAGGCATATGTAGGAGTTTTCCATACGTTGCGGCCCCAGGAGTTTTTAAGTTGTTCTTTGCTTAGAAAGTCTGGCTTTCAAAATGTCAAAGATGGAAAAGAAATGAGTAGCTGACAATGGCTTTGGCTATTTTTTTATTTTCTTTGATTTTACAAAAGGCTTTTGAAATATGCTGGGTTGGTTATAAACACTTTTCCGTGATTGGTTTTAATTTGTTAAGGTCATAAATAAATACCACATGTTCTTAAAAATAAAAATAAGCAATGCATCCACTCCACATGATCAAACCTATACTTGACAGTATGATATATTGATAATATTTTTTAGAAAAATAAAAGTTGTGTTTAATTTTTCATTTTTGGCAAAAGTAAGAGATAATGTATCATGAAGATGTCATTACGATACCAATAATGATAACATCCACATTCCATAATACTTTTTGAAGTTGTTTCTCTAGTTAGCATAAGCCATTTGGACTATTGTCTCCCTGATTCTAACAGCACAGCAGCGAGGACGTCGGCGCTCCTGGTTTCTGAGTCTTGTTCTGACTATGGATTTCCCACTTTCTACAATAGGCATGACCACACCCATTTTGCTCAAATCCCTTTGCTAGCTTATTTCCCTGTCAAAAGAAAGAATGCTAGGTGGAAGAGTTCTACGAACAAATGAGATATTTATTTTAAGAATATATATTTTTGGGGCTGGTGAGATGGCTCAGTGGTCTAAAGCACCTACTTAGAACAAGCTAAGCTAAACAAAGCACAAGGACCATGGTTCAATCCCCCAGCACCACATGCCAGCCAGCCCCGCCCCCTGGTGGGCTGAGCTGGCCACACACACATACACACACACACACACACACACACACACACAAATAAATAAATAAATAAAAATTAAAAAAAAAAAAAGAATATATATTTTCAGGGCTGGCCAAATAGCTCAGCAGATTAAAGCACCTGCAAGCAGGCGCAGAGGCCAGGGGTTCAATCCCCGGGTCTGCCCTGCTGGCCCTGTCCCCGGGGCATGCTGAGACGGTAATTGAGACTGGGCACAGTGGCGCACACCTGTAATCCCGGCATGTGGGAGGCTGTAAACAGGAGAATCGCTACAAATCCAATCTAGTAGTGAGACTCTGAACACCCTGTAGACCCTTCCCTAAAACACACACATATATATACAAAAAGAGGCTTGTGTGTTCCGGAGATACCCAGCTGTGTCTTTGTGCACTCAGTTATGATCAGTGGTATGTTTTCACTCTACCTGGGGTGACTTGCTTGCCCATCCTTTCCATTAAGACAGTGGGTTAGTGGGATTTGGTTAGAGTTTGTGAGCTTCAGAGGTTTGGTCGTGTGGGCGCGAGAGGAGGCGTGGAAGGCCACGTGCCCAGCTGCCTTTGGTGCCCGTTTCTGACTCTCAACTCTTGTTTGTTGGCTCCCAGGAAGTCATCTCCTACTACTCCCAGTATTCCCTAGATGAAAGGATGCGCAGCCACATGGCCCTAGACTGGATCATGAAGGAGCGGGAATCACCGGGAATCCTCTCCCAGGAGCTCCGAATGGCCCTGAGGCAGCTGGAAGAAGCCAGAAAAGCAGGCCAAGAACTGCGATTTTACAAAGAAAAGAAAGAAATTCTGAGCTTGGCCCTGACCCAGATCTACAGTGACCCTGACCCTTCCTCGCCCAGCGATGACCAGCTGAGCCTCACCGCCCTGTGCAGCTATCACTAACAAGCCCAGGTCCCAGGGGCCCCGGGACTCTAACCTTAGGAGGCTCGTTGAAGGAGGTCCTCGGAGGCACCTGACCTGGAGCCACCCCTGGCCGCGCAGCCAGCTCAGAGGGAGAGAGTTGCAGGACTCTTACCGAAGCCCACGCCCACTCCATCCGTTTTCCCATCACATACTCAGCCAATCCATCTCAGGATGAAAGCAAGACTGCCTGGAAACAGTTTCCAGGGCTGGCTCCACTTGAAAGCCTAGCTGGCCTGCACCTTGCTAGATTCTAAATGTTGTTTCTAAGGACGGGCCAGTGTAGCACCTCCCCCATAAGACCCCATCCTCCAGGACTACAAGCAGCAGCACCGTAACAATTTCTAAGTACGTGGATTAAATAAACGATAAGGCTGTTGAAAAATATATACAAGGGTCAGAGTCTTGTTCTAATTTCTGAAAGCTAAATGATAGTTTTATACTGAGGTATAATCTAAGGATAATTCACTATCAAAGATCTCAAATGGCAGTAGTACAACAGTCTTAGATAAATTAACTTTGGATTAAAATTCTATTGCCATAATGTTTTTAAAACACATTCTTCCGTAAATGGGAATAAATAGTACCTAGAATATTAATCTCACTCTTACTCTTCAGCTAGAATTAATGTCCAGTTTTTGTGAGTCTGGCAGTTAATCATGTTCATTTTTAATTTGCAAATAGATAACTCGAATTAATTTACTTTTATTTCTGCCATTGAAGACATACATCTAGAATGGACAAAATTAATCACATTTTAAAGATGAACACATTTTGGAAAAGCACTGGCATATAACAAATTGCTTGCTTTTGACTGATTTTACAGAGATTAGAGGAGGAGTCTATAACTGCTGTTGCTCAAGAAAGTAAGAAACCAATAGCTCTAATAAATATTGTTATTAAGCTTCAAATCCTTGAAATCTTTAAAAGGAGGGACAGGACATTGCCACAGCTGTGCGATCCATTGCTAAGCGTCAGTCAATTGATTAGAAAACCAAAATCAAATTTGTGTGTGTGTGTGTGTGTGTGTGTGTGTGTGTGTGTGTGTGGCCAGCTTAGCCCACCTGCAGGCGGGGCTGGCTGGCATGTGGTGCTGGGGGATTGAACCGCAGTCCCTGTGCTTTGCTAAGCTTGTTCTAAGTAGGTACTTTAGACCACTGAGCCATCTCACCAGCCCCAAAATCAAATTTAAGAACAATATTAACCTCAATTTTCAGTGCTCATAGGTGTTTCCATATCTACAACATGAATGGGATTACTCTGAGTTTAGCCCAGTGACTTAAATAAAAGAAAATCATTTTCTCAGTTATAAAGAGTTTCAGCTGAGTGTGGTGGCACATGCCTATAATCCCAGAACTCTGGGAAGGCTCAGGTAGGAGGATCACAAGTTTGAGCTCATTCTCATCAATTTAATGATAGAGTGAGACCCTGTCTTGGGAGAATAAAAGTTACAAGGGATGGGTATGCAGATCAATGTAGTGAAGAAAGTTTTGTTTTTTTCTTGTTTATGCAAATACCAACTAATTTTCCTAAAAGTTGAATCATAATTAAAGCTTACAGAGTACTTTTACCTCATATCTAAATATGAACAAAGATTATTGCCACTCCTTAAATCCTCATAGAAATTATTATATGCTGATAAGATATTTTGAAATTAGCCTTAACAATGAAAAATCATGTACAAAACATTTTTCAGACCAGGAGAAAATTTAACTATGTAATGACCCTATACTAGTATCTTAAAAAGATATTAGTATATAATATTAGATAAAGTTTATTCTAAAATATTATTTTAACAAAAATCACATTTGTCCCCACAATGTGGCTAAAGATCATCAGGAGAGAACTTTAATCTCTTAATGGAAAAAAAAAAATCTCTTAACGTTCATGAAAAGGATTTAGACCGACTAAAGTGCCTGCTTACGCAGACGGAGGAACCCGGGTTCTACCCCTGACGTACTGTGCCAGCCCCGCCCCCATGGCGCGCTGAGACGACAATTGAGACAGCGTGGTGGCGCGTACCGCGCCTGTAATCCCAGCGCTTGGGAGGCTGAAAACAAGAGGATCACTATGAGTCTGGTCTGTGTGGTGAGACCCTGTAGACCCTGTAGATCCTGTACTAAACACATTAAAAAAAAAAAAATTAGACTTAAATTTGTTGAATAAATTTTAAAGGAAACTTTCTATTAAAATAGATTTTCATAAGATGATTATTCTTTACATTACCCTTTTCAAAGTCATACTTTCCTCTGTTGGGTTCCTTTAGTTTGGTCACTTTCAGCAGCGGCCACATCAAAAGGATGCCATCTAGTTAGGTGCAGGCACAGGGATTGAATGGAGCGACATCAAGCTTACCTTAGGCCTTATAGTTAAAAACTATCCCAGTTCTGTACACTTGGTCACTGTCAGTTTTTTCCAGGTAAGCAAAACTGCCTAATCTTCCTAGAGTGACGTGGAAGCTCCAGTAAAAGAAACAAAAATCAGGATTATTTCTGTTTCCCTTATGCTCACTTAATAGTAAACCAGAGGCCAGGGGTAAGAGCGCACACCTATAATCCCAGCACTACAAGGGTGAGGCAGGAGGATCAGTGAAAGTTCAAAGCCAGACTGGGCTACAAAGTAAGTTCAAGGCCAGCCTGAACTGTGTAGTGAAACCATCTAAGAAAATAAATAAAAAGGAGTTGAGGAGATGGCTCAGTAGAATAAGTACTTGCCTAGCAAGCGCAAGGGCCTGAGTTCAATCCCCAGTTCTGCAAAAAAAAGAAAGAAAATAAAATAAAATAAATAAAAAAAATCACATCAACTCCAGGCCATGTATAATGTTAATCAGTGAATCACACAAGCATCAGTGATGCCGACCCAGAAAGCAGCACCACTGAGGAGCACTGTGGTTGTATTTGTCCTTTTTCTATATCTCTTTCTCAATAGCAAATGGTGATAAAAGGGTGTACAGTGACAGATTCTCTAAGCATGCAGAGGTCTCAACATAATTTTATTTACAAACTCAGTGAATCTGAAAGAAGCTATGACCCATCTCCTAGAAAAAGAGAATAAAATAATTCATTCAACATTGAGGGGGTGGGAAGGTAGCTCAATGCCATAAGCACCTGCCTGGCAAGGACAAGGTCCTGAGTTTGAGCATCTGTACTAAAATAAGTAAATACACACATTCAGAGGCTATATGAACAATCAAAGTCCATAGATTGTCCTAGAGCTCTTGGCCTGCACATTTTTTTTTTTTTTTTTTGGTACAGGGTTTACAGGGTCTCACTATGTAGATCAGACTTGTAGTGATCTGTTTTCGGCCTCCCAAGTGCTGGGATTACAGGTGCACGCCACCACACCCAGACTCAATCGCCATTTCAGCATGCCCTGGGGGCAAGGCTGGCACGGCATGCCAGGATCGAACCCCAGCTGCTGCACTCTGCCTAAGCAGGTGCTTTAGTCCACTGAGCTATCTGGCCCGCCCTTGGCCTGCACTTTAGAACTCATAATTTTGAACACATCACACAGCCTTGTAAATTTCACATCAAAGATCCAGTGTAGCTCAGTTATAGCCAATAGGTCCTATGACAAATATATATATATATATATATATATATATATATACACAAAATATCCTAATACCATATCAAATATGATACATACAATGACACTGCATTTGACAAAAGATAGTTTAAGTTTTACAAAACCAAACATACCATATTGTTTTGAAAAAGCATTTTAGACAAATTCATAAATATTTGGGTGAATGTATCAGAATTTTACAGATTTAATAAAGTCACTGTCCTCTAAGTTCAGCCTTTTGTTGTCCATTTGTCGAAAAGCTATAGTTCAGTTGCACTGCTGCTGATAAACTCATTAACCTATTTTCAGTAATAAGCAATCAAACCCTTAGTCATTTCTGAAATGTTGCATCAACTTTCCACTATGAATCTAATCACTTAGGTGCCTGGGCAGATACAGAGAAACAAAATAAAGGTTTAAACCTTTCTTGTTCTTTTGGGAAAGCATTTGTAGTCAAAACTATTGTCTTCCTGTATAGAGTTGAGGAGCTGCATTCTGAGTTTTGCTGTGCCACGCCTTTCTTTGTAGCCAAGGGACAAAAGAGGCCAGAGGAGCGACACTGCCACTGTCCTTGACTGTGGTCACACGTTAACACTAGTCAAGTTTCTCTCTCCCATTATATTTGTTTGCTTTGCCATGTACAGATTCAAATTTAATATTTCTTCTATTGTGAAACTTACCATGAATCCTACAGTTATTATTTAGATGACTTCTTGGACAGAGCTCAGAAAAACAAAACTCCCTTTCCTACTGTATGGTTCTTAATTTTGACAATTCTCAAGGAACTTTTAAAACTCCTGAAACAATACCTAGACCAAGGAAAAGAGATTTCTTGAAAGTGAAGTGTAAGAATCAATATTTTTTAGTTTTCCAGGTAGTTCTAAAGTTTGAAGATGCTGCTCTACCCAGGAAATGCTGGCCCAGAGTCAAAGGCAATGGAACTATTACTCTATTTGACCTTCACCCCCAAACTCAAATGTGGAGTGCTGAGTTTGAACTGGACGTCTCACCTAAAACTTGGAACTCAAATATGTGCATGCAAATGCACACATGTGAACACACACACACACACACACACACACACACACACACACACACACTCACCATCTGAGTCAGAGAACCAGATTCTGATCCAGATTTGAGGCCCTGTTTCTCAAGCAGGACATGTGAAACATGGAAACATCTGTACCAAAGTCATCTGGGGTCCTTGCTTTTAAAACTGAACTGTGTCCCAGTCCTACTAAGCAAATTCTGCCAAAGGGGTCTAGAATATTTACCCCTTTCCCACATGTTTCTGATCACATTTCAATTTGAGATCTCCTGGCCCAAACTTAGCCAACTCATCCTTTCCTGGGCAGCACAAGGCTGGCCTCAGGGAGGTGATACACAGAGGACTACCTCTCCTGGGAGCTGCAGAGAAGCAGGAGGGGCAAAGGGCTGCCTCTTCCCTCCCACAAGAGCTTCCAATCTTGGATCAATTTGGCTCCAACATTCAGTATTCCTTTAACTGCTCCCCTAAAAATCATGATTATCTGTATTAGCTCACGGCTAAGATCACTACTTTAAGTCGATCTAGACCTGAGTGACATTTTCCTCTGGCAGCAAAGCAGAAGGCAGGAAAGCAAGCCAAACCCTCTTTCTGGGATCTGCTGATTTTCTAATGATTTGTAAATCCTTACATAAATCAGTGAATTCAACACCGAGGTGCATTTATCTACAAGGGTTAAGATCATACGTGGTGATAAGTTTCCCAGACCA